AGTGTGTCTTTCAATCTTCCTCCTTTTTTCTATAAATTCCGATTAATACATTGTTTGCCTGTTTATCATATATATATATATATATATATATATATATATATATATAATATATATATATATATATATATATATATATATATATATATATAATCATGTAGCAGGTCCTTTGCAGAACATCGCTCTCATCACAGTCTGCCTGAAAGAGACTTGGTCTCTCGCCAGTTCTCCCGCCTCATGGACTTTCATACTCAATGAGTCACTTATATCCTGTGCCCATACTCGTGTCGGTCAGTCCCTGCTCCTTCTTCCTGGCACCATACCTTCTGTTATAATTTTTGCCAATCCGTCGTGGCGCTTGATATGACCAAAATATTGCAGCTTCCGAGACAGGATGCTGTTCATTAGCCAATCTTCCTCGATGTTCAGATCTTTCAAGATGTCAGTATTTCTCATGTTCAGATCTTTCAAGATGTCAGTATTTCTCTCATCTTCTTTGTCCAAGATATTCTGAGAATCTCTCTATCGCATTTCAGCTCAAAAGCCCCTATTCTTTTTCTTAAGGATTGAGAGATAGTCCACGACTCACATCCGTATGTAGCCACAGGGAAGATGCATGCTCTTAAAATTCAAATTTTGATCTCCTTACTAGTGCTTAACCATGGGCTTTTAAGGCTGTTCAATCTTTGCATTGCTATGGCCATTCTCCTTTTAATTCCTGTCAAACAGTCTCCATTGCTGTTTATTATAGAACTTCGATATTCAAAGTTTGTGACAATTTCAATTTCTTCATCATTTATTGTTATTTTTTGGTTGACAGCCAATTGTATCTGTGGACATTATTTTAATCTTCTTTAAATTCAGAAACAGATTTTGATCTTCACTGTGCATTTGGACAGACAATATAAAATTTTAAATTCCATTTACTCTGTTCGAAAGAAGGACTGTGTCATCTGCATAGCGGAGTTCCGGAATAGGGTTGCCACACATTTTAAGTGGATCATAACTGTCACAAGTCTGGTCATTTTTGACATTTCTCATTATATTTCTGCGTATATATTGAATAGATATGGAGAGAGAATGCACCCCTGCCTCACCCCCTTTTGCACCTCGAACCAGTCTGCTGTTTCACAAGCTGCTCTGATGGCTGCTTGTAGTTCATTATAACGATTTTCAATTAAATTCACTGAATGCGCTGGAAACCCCAAACTTCTCATTTGAGTCCACAGTTTGTGGTGTTGGACACAATATATATATACAAATATATATACGAGATAGACGGAAATAATGGTAAACTCAGATATTACCCTGCAAGAGAGTTATGTCCTTAACTCTTTGAGTCCAAGTGGGTTTAGCATCAGAGGCCCAAGGGTTAGTCAAAAGAGATGTAAAATCGGCGCATCTTGCGTTCATTGGGCCTTTACGGGAACCCATGAACGTATGATGCGTTCCTTGGGACTCAAAGAGTTAAAAACAGATAATTCAGAAAGTACAAACATTCTCCCAGTGAAAAGTTGAGCGTGGCCTGTTTTCTAATAAAATTAGACTGTCGCATAGTGAGTAATGTCGGTTGGGGGGGGGTGGGGGGGGGGGGGGTCTCACTATATCCTCGTCGATGCTATGAATCTCTTTCACTGTGATGACGTTTTCCGCATGTGTGAAAAGACTAGCGCCTGTTTGGTGATGTCCGCCAGTACTGATCGTGATACAATATATTTACAGTATTAAAATTACCCACAACAAGAGATAATAATCTAGATAGCATTGCCGCATCCAACTCTATAGCTCCGCATTCATTTTGACAACGATTCAGCCATTAATTTGTTTAACCAGAGTACTTTTTATCCTCTCCAGTTGTCTGCAGCACTTCACGCAAAGTATTTAAGAACCGCTAACATTAGACAAAACCTTTTAAGACATGACACTTAACAGAACAAACTACATGTCGTGTCTACATTTTGAGAAGTGTTGTTTATCATCGCAGAAATGTGTTTGCCTCTGCGTTCTAGGTCCCATTATTAAGTGTGCGCCAAGATGTGTGTTGTCATCATCATCATGTAGTGCTATCCTTCTTCTTTCTTTGTTCACCGTCTCTAAGCGCCAGCAGAAAGTCCTGGTTGTTCGTCCATTTTGACTTTGTGCCAGGGTCTAAGTTTTGCGTGTATATCCGTTTTACTGGCTTATTTGTGTGCAACTGTTTGTTCCTTGCCTTCCGAGCAGATGCACTCCGACTTCGAAGGAAGTCTCCAATTATTAGTCAACTCCTACAACATACTTGTTGGTCTATACCTGTTGTCCACACAATGGGGCCCCTAGAACCAGCACGGGGAATTTTCCTTCTATTATATGTAGGGCTAGCATCTAGTCCTCCATTCTGGTCTAGTCTTTTTAATCATATCGATAATTTTGGATGGAATCCAGTCCAGCTAATTTGACCTCTCTCAACAACTTTCAGTCAAAAGTATGTAGCTATTTATTATCCTGCTGAAATTTCCAAGTTCCTTTCCTGTGCACTGGTGCTCACCTATTCATTACCACAACTTGATGTCGGTCACTTTATATATCTTTAACGTTATTTAGCTCTCAACTGTGCCCCAAATACTAAGACTTTTGTTATGTTGCTCTCAACTGTGCCCCAAATACTAAGACTTTTGTTATGTTGCTCTCAACTGTGCCCCAAATACTAAGACTTTAGTTCTTTTGCTCTCAACTGTGCCACAATTACTAATATTCTTAGAATAATTCGGGTGGCGTGACCACATTACCTTGATTTTGTCAGTAAGGTATGTGATTTTTGAAAATCCTACCTTGTACTGGCTGCTTACAACAGAAAGCTTTAACAACAGTAAAGTTGCAAAATTTTGTGACTACTGTGAAATCTCCAGTGTGCAATGGTAGCAGAGGTTTTAAGTAGAACTGTTTTGGAAAAAGTACGGCCATTGTGACATTTTACTTTTTACTTAATTCCAAAAAGAATCAAAAAAGAAATTAAATACAGATAATCAAGAAATGTGGAAATGTTATGAGGAGCATTTAGGAACTTCAATACTTGGCAAGAATTTTTACACACAATGGTAAACCAGACAGAGAGAACCAATAATCTTATGTTGCTCCAATTTGGCAACACCTGGTAATTTCCAGCTTTAGGTTACCAGTGTCAGATTTGGACATCAACCAAAGAACGTGAGAGAAAACTAATCAACTGTGAAATTAAATGTTTGAGAAAGGTTATGAACAAACCCAGAAGAGATCATGTGAGAAATTAAGAGAAAAACTGTTGGAACAACAAATAAATTGAAATTCCTTAGGAAATAATGTCTGAAGTGGTTTGGCCCCGTAGTGAGAAGGAAAACAACAATGCCTGACTGAGAGCATACACCATGGAAACACCAAGAGGTAGAAGGAAAACTACAAAAATATGGACTGAAGGAGTCACTCACAGATTAAGACCTCACAACATAAAAGCATATTAAATAACTCAGTATACCTTGGCCCCACTGCCTGTCATCATTTAAACTGTGATACCTAACAGCACAAAGTAGATATTGGCAAAAGAAAGAACATATGAGTGGATTTATTATCACTCTTCTATTAGTTATTCATTCATTTGACAAAAGGTCACAGACCATGACTTTCAAGCAACTAACCATATTCAAAGACACACAAAAATCATGGCTGGCCAAGCAGTTACAATGTTGAACTCTCATGCAGGAGACCCAGGGTTGACTCCCCAGTAAGGGGGTGGAGTTTTTCTGTCGGGGGCAAAACTAAACTTTCACAGTCCAAGGTGACCACACTAGCCATGCGGCCCTAAATCCTCAGGCTCACACTGCCCTGAACAAATGTTGTGTGTGTGCATGTGCGCGCACGTGTGTGTGTGTGTGTGTGTTTTCCATCACGATAATGATGACCAATCTTTTTCATCAAGTATGAGTACGAAGATGACTGATGAGACCCCGAAAAGTTCTTGGGCAGTGAGGACAGGGAATAAGTGTTGTGCCAGGGAGGGGATCTCCTGCAGTCGCCTTTTTGTCCATCCTTTTCCTAATCAGTCAAAAAATGTTACACAAATTGTACATACAGACAGAAGTGATACATAAAAATCAAACAACACACTGAGGATTCATTACTAAAATTGTTCATATTCTTGAACACATTCTTTTAAAAATATAAATCACATGATTTTAATAGTAAAAATACAAATAAGCCCTGTTCAATACATTTATGGATAGCTTATGTTCCATATAAATTACAAGAGCTATAATCTGTGGTTTCTGACTAAAATCCTTGCTCAAAGTTTAACATTTCACTGGCTAATTGCATTACTAACCAGATGGCTTTGTGGTGAGAGGTAAGAAATGGGTGAGTTTTAATTGCAAAGCTGAATTGATATTGATTGAGAAAACAAGACCCTCAAGTGTATAATCAAACATTCAGAACAAAAATGGAAGTGGAGATGGCGACCTCAGTTTTCCGATGACTTAACAGTCATGCAGTCCTAGTCAATATATCTGTGATGGATTTGTAAAGCATGCTTTGGAAAACAGAAAACTTATGAGGGCTGGCATGAGAGTTACTATCTCATCCACGAGAAAACTTTACCTGAACAATCAAAACAATCATGGCATCTACAAAAGGCTTGTTTTGACTGAGTTGTTCGATTGATCTTGCTCCACTGATAACCTTTTCCTTTGCATTCACATTTAAAAGGGTGGTTTTCATTGTGTTGTGGTTTACATCTACGCTGTGATAAATGCACTTTTTGCCCCAAAAAATTCAACTTCAGCAAAAAATAATTAGTTGCTTTTTATGGGGAGAGTGGATCCTTTTTTTTTTTTTTTATTGCCCCAAAAATGGTGCCCCAGAACCCACGTGGTCAGCCATTTGGAGAGAAAAAAGGCACAAGAAGTTAAAAGATTCTTTTCACTCAAAGGTAGAAGAGGTTGGAAGATTATAAATGATGAATCATACAAGTGATATGTCACCAGCCACATCAAATAATTTCACAGTAAGAAACTGAATCCACAAACAACTAGTGCAAATAATGTCAGTAAACCAACCCGAAGAATGAGATGCTTCTTAGAAGCCTCCAGTTTCAGACAGATGTCTTTCACCTGGTTTCTTGTGTCCTCTATACTCCCACAGTTGTCAATGACATAAGTGGCCAGTTTGCACTTCTCAGTGAGTGGAAGTTGGGATCTTATTCTGGCTTGGGCATCGTCTGCTGACAAGCTGTTTCTCTCCATGAGGCGATTTAACTGTTGGTGTTCCTGGCTGGAAGCAGATAAAAGTATTCAATATAAAATATTTTCAAATTATAATTCATGATGGTACAGTGGCTCATAAACAGCATCCTGTCCTCACAGATGAGGTATTTTGGCCATGTTAAGCATGGAGACAACTATGCTGGAGGGTAGAGGTTGCAGAAAATAATGCAGTCAGATCTCAGACATTGAAGATACATTGGCTATGAAAACACACAGAGCTGAAAAACTGGCTAGAGGAATGCACTCAGACGTAGAAGGGAACACCACTAATCGGTTGCCTTTTATGTCATGCATGTCAGGTGGGCTGTGTTATTATTCTTTGTCCACCTAACTTGAGACCCTGAAACCCACAAGGAGAAATTTTTCTCTAAACTTCATTCAAAGGGTCTTTACTTCATCACTTTCTGAAATGTTTCTCTAAACTTCATTCAAAGGGTCTTTACTTCATCACTTTCTGAAATTTTTCTCTAAACTTCATTCAAAGGGTCTTTACTTCATCACTTTATGAAATGTTTCTCTAAACTTCATTCAAAGGGTCTTTACTTCATCCTTTTTTGTCACAATTATTGTTATCTCTTATAATATATGTTCCAAAGAAGTCAGGAAATAAAAAAAGAGTTGCTAAAAATAATTAAAAAAAAAAAAGACAACTGTCATATTTTGGCTATATTAAAAGTAATAACACTTATAAAAAAAATATACTGCTAGAAGAGAAATTGTGAAGGGTGTTTAAAGGCAAAAGCACCAAAGTCACTGCAATTATCCCAATGGCTTACTCGCCACAAATCGGCTGGCTGCCCACTGACTTCTTCTTCTTTATTTGATATTGTTTTGTTTTTGTGTGCTACTACTTATGCTGTTAAGCATAAAGGACTTAGATGCAGTTTCCCATCTCTTGCTAGTTGTTTAGCTTGTGTAAATGTGATATTGTGTTTCTGTGGTATCTCTTTTACTCCATCCATCCATTTCTTTCTTGGTTGGTCTCTTGCCTTTAGCCTGCAGTTTTCATGAAGTACACTTTAGCTGCTGGCTGTTGTTCCATTCTGACCAGACGACTACAGCATTTGATTCTGTGATGGTACTGTGCCTGCCATTGTTCTTAGTTCTTCATTGGTGACTCTTTCTCTTGTAAATTTTGTATACACCTGATCTCACATGTTAAAATGTTGTGTTCATATTTTTCTAGAATTGTCCCCTCTGGCATTGATATCATAAATATGTGGGAATTTTGCATTTATCAGCTGCTTCCTGTGTGTGTGTGTGTGTGTGTGTGTGTGTATATGCCTCAAAAGTAGTGCTGTTTGGTAATTTTATGTTGCTGGCCTTCTCTTATCTGTTTTCTATTTCTCTGCCTATTGAGAGCACCACATTATGCAGGAATTCTCTAGCTCCACCTTCCAACTTCAAGCAGCAAACACCTGAATTTGCAAATGGAGTGTTGAGACCAAATTGAACCCCCCAACATTAACTTCTTATAGTCCGTGTGGTGTTGTTGTCATGTCTATGCACAATCTTCTGTCTCGTGTACTTTCAATCAACTCTGACACAGATGATCTTCCATGCCATGATGTCAAACTGTCCAGCATCTGTTCTCTCGGTCTCCCTGTGCCTCTCTTTCAATCCAAATTTCCTACCATCATGATGTACTCCAGTTTTCTCCTTCTCATCACATGACCAAAGAATGTAGATTGTCTCTTTCTGATGTGGGCAATGAGTTCTCTTTGTAAGTCAATTTCTTTCAAGACGTCTTCATTACTCTTTTCATCTGTGAAGGGTATTCTCACCATATGTCTATAAAACCACATCTTCGCAGCTTCCAACATTCACAGCAAAAGAAAAAACGCCTACATACTTCACCACAATTTGGAAGTAAGACTTCCCTTGTGGGTTCCAGGGTCCCACTGTGCTGAAAAACAAGAATATACCCACTGCGTGCCCAACAAGCATGTCGTAACAATCGACTGACTGGGGACTTCCTTTGAAGTCAGAGTGCATCTGCCTGAGAGGCAAGGAACCAACAGTCTGCACACACAACATTCAGTTCCTGGAACAAGACTAAAATCCAGAGGTAGACGAACAGTCAGAACCTTCCGTCGGAGTTTACAGCTGGTAAACGTGAAGAAGAAGAAGGAGGAAGTAGGCTGAAAAGTTCTTATGACTTTGTCCCTTTTGACACTGGTCTCACAAATCCTAGTTTTCTTCTGGTAAGGCAGCAAATTTTTATACAATGGAGGTGTTAAAAAATATAAGTTTGAAAACTATACAGCAAATGCTTAAACAAGAGATCTTCAGCAGTTTTTCAAAAACTCTTTCTATATACACAAGCCATGGTTTCAAGTTCTATAATCATAATTAAAAAAAAAAAAAAAACACCACACCAGAAATAAGACATTTTTATGAAAGTGTGCACACTTCCCTTCAAATCCACCTAAGTGTATATAATTACTCTTTAAAATATGGTAGTCAAAGGTAAAGTGGTACTAAACTTGTCCTTACCAGTACACAACAACTGTGTAGGATACATATGGAAGCAGCTTCTTTGTTTCAAACAGCAGTGGGATGTCTAAAATAACAAACTGGTAACCTATCAAAGAAAAAAAATAGTTGTTTTTAAAAATATTTTTACACACACACGCGCATGCACACACACGCGCGCACACACGCCCATATACCCACCCACCCACACACACACACACAAATAGCTTATCTGAATGGTTGGTGTGTAGATCACTTATTGTACTCGTAAAACTCATCTGCTAGGACTACAGTTTACATCAGGCTTGTGTGGCCATCACCAGTGTCTTAACTCATTAAGTTTTTGGGAGGCTGGGTATCTGGGAATTGCCTAGTTGGCTTACCATCCAGAATGAGATGTTATAATTCTATGATGGTTAAATCTTCAGGTAGCAGCCCAGAAGGGGGAGAGGGAACACAAGGAAGATTTCTAAAAAATCTTACATATTTATTTAGAGGATGGCATTTTTTAAATGAACAACAAAGGGAGAAGACAATTCAAAGTGTGACCTTGTATCATTCCAGACTTTTCTGACAGTTTTTGTCTTGGCTTTTATTTATAACTTTTCATGTTATTCTCTTACTTTGAAATATAAGCCTTAATTAAAGGAATCTGTTGATAATCTCTGGAATATTATGGACCAAGAAGAGGAAAAATATTAACATTCTTCATGATCTGAATATGGTGGACTGTCTAACTCTACCCCATCCCTCCAGCCTTTTGAAAGATGAAACACTTATGCCATAATGGTTTGAGAGAGGAATAATGCAAGAGTTCCTGAAAGAAGGTAAGGGGTCAACTTGCATGGCTGAGGGAACAGGATGTCAAGGATACACTCTGCATGAAAGTTCATGAGCAGCCAGAGTTTGTGATAGACCAACTGGCTCCCCATTGTGCAGTGATGAAAGCACACATTCTGCAAAGGACCTGTTCCATTATGATGAATTTCTAGCACTTGTAAAACTGTTTATCTCTGTGTGGATTCAAGGGCTCCATGGTGGAGGGAAAAGAACAGACCAAACACCCCCTTATAAGCAAGTTGTATGAGGCAACAAATTAAGGGTGTTTTCTTTGAAGTCTGTGTGCATCTGCGAGAGAGGCAAAGAACCAACAGTCTGCATACAAATAAGCCAGATCTGTAAAACAAATGCGCATGCAAAATTCAAGTCCTAAAACAAGACCGAATTCCAGAAGTTGATGAACAACCAGAACTTTCCATCAAAGTTTACAGCCGATAAATGTTAAGAAGAAAGAAGAAGATAAAGCTGTTTTTGTTTCATGTCTAAATTGTTTGTTGTTCCATTACGGAATTTTATTTGGTCATCACTTGCCTAGTACCATTCTTTAAATGCTAATACAGGCAATTGTAATAAGTGACATAATACAAAGTAATCACAGTTTGCTAACAGAGACAATTTTTTAATGTTTTTATTAACAATGTTAAACAAAACTGTAACAAGAACTGAAGTTTTTTGGGCATCTTATGAGACATGAGTGCCATCAGTCACCCCACTGCTGACACATGAAGTAGATCTGGTTACAGAAGAAGAGTCAGAAATTGATGGTCTATATTATCTTAGAAATACAAAGCAAACCCATACTAGCTGCAGCTAATGCTCAATTGTTTAACTTTCTTCCTTCTGTGTTTGTCTTTAAAAGGGGGTGTGTGGTACATTGTGGTGCCATTTTAAGCAAGTAGACTGCAATACATGCTCTTTTAGCCCAAAATATATGATTTCAGCAAACTCACAATTAGTCCCATTTACGAAATGCCTGTTAAGAGAGCAGTGAGTCTACTTCCTCCTCCCCCCTTCCCCTCCAAAAAATGGGTCACTGGGAAATGTTTGGCTCAAGAATTGAGAGTTTATAATGTTATGCACTAATGATGCAATATCATCATCATCATGTAGCAGGTGCTTTGCAGAACGTCGCTCTCATCACAGTCTGCATGAAAGAAACTCGGTCCCTCGCCAGTTCTCCCGCCTCATGCACTTTCACACTCAAGGAGTCACTTATATCCTGTGCCCATCTTCGTGTCGGTCGGCCCCTGCCCCTCCTTCCTGGTACCATGCCTTCTGTTATAATTTTCTCCAATCCGTCGTGGCGCTTGATATTACCAAAATACTTCAGCTTTCGAGAAAGGATGCTATTTATTAGCCAATCTTCCTTGATGTTCAGATCTTTTAAGATGTCAATATTTCTCATCCTCTTTGTCCAAGATATTCTGAGAATCTTTCTATAGCATAATGATGCAATAAACTAACATAATTAAAGAAGATATGAAGACTGTCAAATTTGCTGAGCCGAACTAATCTGTGGGGAAAAAAATTCAGACAACACAATTTAAAATGATAAAAGATAAAAAATTATAAATTAACTGAAGATTTCCTAAAATAATTTATTTTCTCTTATGAATTTATAGCAAGCACAAACCTTGTATAAAACACATTAATATCTGCCACAGCATCTCCTTTTGTACAGCAGGGTGAACAATCCCATTGAGCAGTTTTCGCTTGCCTTCATCATGAAAAATTATCTGCCCAAGCATTTCTCTGTTTAGCTGCCCATCTTGGAGAAAAACACTGTCACCAAATGTCTCTCTGATTTTCCTATAGGCATTCTGGCCTGGTTCAACAACTAAGGAAGGACAACAACAAACAGTTAAAATGTGTAAGTTAATTCTTAACAGTAACATTTAGTTTCCATGGTTATTTATCTAACTGTAAATGAAGTCTAATATATTATTTAGGAGCTTGCTGTAGCACAGCTGCTAGACACTTGACTGCCGGTCTGAAGGTTTTCGGTTCAAATATATATCAAGGCGGATTTTGTAATTGACAGTCTAAAATTGATACGAGTAGTATTAGTCATCATCATCATAAATTTCCGCTGCAGCCATTAAGTTTTGTGGGAAGGAACATTTTGCGATCCATTGCTTGATGGGCAGCAATGGCTATTGTTATCCTGTGTTGATGTAGGCGTAGTAATTTTCACACACATATACTGTGTTGATGTAGGCGTAGTAATTTTCACACAAATATACTGTGTTGATGTAGGCGTAGTAATTTTCACACAAATATACTGTGTTGATGTAGGCGTAATAATTTTCACACAAATATACTGTGTTGATGTAGGCGTAGTAATTTTCACACAAATATACTGTGTTGATGTAGGCGTAGTAATTTTCACACAAATATACTGTGTTGATGTAGGCGTAGTAATTTTCACACAAATATACTGTGTTGATGTAGGCGTAGTAATTTTCACACAAATATACTGTGTTGACGTAGGCGTAGTAATTTTCACACAAATATACTGTTAAACTCTCAGGGTTACAATTGTGAAATAAGGTGTTCATCCAGTTTTCAGACTTTATATCTGTTATTTTTTAATATCATGTAATTATTTATTTAAGACAACTGATGATGATGGTGTGCATCCATCACAGGTGAGATGACCAGTCTTTTCATCCAATGGTGACTGGATTAGATTTTGTGAGTGCACAGTTGGCTGATAAGGCAATTCTAGCACTGAAAGATCTTGAGCAGTGTGGACAGGGAAATGAAGCTGCATGTCTGCAGTGATTTGCTTTAGTGTCTTTCCCGGCTTCTCTTTTCTGAATTCTGCTGCATTTCTAGCTTCTTCATGGGCTACAGCTCCTCGATGAGTGGTCACATGCAGCGACTTCCCAGGTTTTAGGATCAATACAGAAGTCTTTCAGTGAAGTCTTGAGGTTGTCCTTAAAATGTTTCTTCTGTCCACATTGACAGCAGTTTCCTTTTAGTTGCTCACCATAGAAAATTCTCTTTAGCAGTTGGTAATCAGGCATGTGGACTATATGACCTGCCCAGTAAAGATGTTTTAGAATTGACTAAACACTAGACAGTCCAGCTCTGTCAAGGACTTCAGTGTCAGGGATCCTGTCTTGCCATTTTATGTTCAGCAACTTTCTGGGACCTACTGTGTGTAAATTGTTAAGCTTATTAGCATGGCGCTGGTCAAAGGTCTATGTTTCACATGCATAGAGAAGTACAGGAAGTACGACAGCTTTGTACACTTTGAGCTTCGTCTTCAAGCTGATGCCAGCTCTATTCTTTTGTACGAAGGGGACAAAATGCGCTACTGGCTTGGATATCCTTGCATTGATCCCTAGATCATTGTTAGCTTTCTCAGTGAGTAAGCTGCTAAGATGTGTAAACCTGTCTACTGTGTTTAGTGATTTGCCCATGAATGTAATGTTTGGTTCAGGTAGACTTGTTCTCGTGGCTAATAATGGTAAAACACATTGTTAGGCCTCACTGTCCTGATTGCAATGACATATATTTGCTGAGGGATTCGTTAAAAAACAGAATAGTTATACCTTTAAAATACTAATTTTTAGTTTCTTGCAGTCTACATTTTTTACTGGACTTCTTCTTCTTCTTCTCTTCCACCTTGTACCTCATCGAAGTGTCGGGGGAGATGTAATGTTCGTTGATGGGCTCTGTCAAGACACTATTAAGACTGATGTTCATTTCTGTTAGGCTGTTCTTAATGCCATCACTCCATATTTTCCGAGATCTTCCACTCGCTCTATACGCGTTGTAACGTTTTAGAGTGGCTCGCTGTGGCGGATAGTACCAGAGCATTCTTGTTAGGTGTCCAAACCACTTCATTTGTTGTTCTTTGATGACCTGTAGACTGGCTTTATTCCTAGCATTCGTCTGATTTCATGACTTTGTATTCTGTCTTTCCTTGAAACTCCTGCAGCTCTTCTAAGGCATTTCATCTCTGTTGTCACAATTTTACGTTCATTGGAGGATGTAAGTGTCCACGTTTAGCATTTATAGCATAGTGTTGGCCAAAAAATAGTTCTGATAAGATTCACTTTAGTACTCCGATGTATCTGCTTGTGTGTCAACAGGGGAGATAGTTGATCCATCACTTGATTAGCTTTGGCACATCTGAAGCTAATTTCTCTGTCAAGTTTTCTGTCAGATGTATAAATTGCTCCCAAATACTTAAATTCCTCTGTTTGTCTCAGGGTATTGTTTTTTAATTTAATTTCTAAATTGTCTTTATGTCTTCTTATCATCATTGTGTCTGTCTTCGTAGTGTTTATTTTCATATTATATTCCTCCCCTTTGTTACTAATTTGATTTAGGTGGTTCTGTAGGCATCCCGAATTTTCTGCTATGGGTACCTGGTCGTCAGTGAAAAGTAATTCTGTCATATCTTCTTCATGATTAAAGTTCGTTTCTCTACATATGGTATCCATGTATGTCATAAAAAGAAGCGGCGATAGTACACAGCCCTCGCGCACCCCAGAGTTCCCTATAAAAGTTCTTGACAACCCTGCCTTCTATCGCATGCAGCATTTACTACGTGTGTACAAGCTTTTGCAAATATTATTGCTGATTCCTTTTTTCCCCATTCATTTCCACAACATAATCGGTATGCGCATATACATAAGTGGTATGCGCCACTATAATGTTAATATCTCCGCTTAGAATTGTCCTACAGGCTTTATTGAGTTTTCATTAGTTAAAAATTCAAAATATAAAACCTCAGTACCAACCCTTTTATTTCTAAGCAACAAGACAGTTTATTTGTTTTCATTTTCTACCCTACCCTGTCGAGCAATTATATCTGCATCAATGCATTTGCAGCGCAATTCGTTCTGAAATATTTTTGTGACGGTACTTTTGCCACTGGCGATGCCGCCCGTTAGACCTACTAAAAACATAGTTTTTCCTCTCTGGCATCCAACTCAATCTGGGTAACTTAAAATGCATATATGGAATGTTTAGATAACAAAATGTCATAAATTTGTTTTGTGAACACTATTTCGTATTTTTATATCGTCGTGTAATAGAGTGCTAAATAATTTAAAAATCTGAAATCAGTATTACTTTTTTAGGCAAACAAATATTCAGTTTATGTGCCCTATTCGTGTTAACAAAAGAAGGGAAAGTGCTTAACCAAGTCAATAAATTGAAGTATTTGGGAACATTCATAACATTCATGGACGACGTGTGACAGAAATTAACAGCATAATTGGTCAGGCAAATGGACCTTTTCAGAAGATAAAAAGTATTTTATGTAATTAATCACTCTCTGGGGTAGGAGCCTGTCCTACTACTAGGTGCGTCCATCAGGTGGCGGATGGTGGAAAGGCCTCTAGATATAGAGGTTAGAAACGAATATATTGAATAAGTGGCCGTGGACCAAAACAGGCGATGGTCATTGAGAGGAGATGGGACAGCTAACTCTATAAAATACCTCAACACCTACGACATGGCCATCGGCGAGTAAGAAGCGCCATAACCCCCCCCCCCCCCCCCCACCTTCCCTGCTGCCTTGCATCTTTAGACTTTAGACAAAGGCTATTGGAGTCAAACAATAGGCCTATACATCATCATCATCAGGTGCCTTGCCGACTGGTGTGGGCGATCATGCGTCTCCATGCTACAGCCCCCCCCCCCCCCCCCCCCCCCCCCTTGCTGCCTTGCATCTTTAGACTTTAGACAAAGGCTATTGGAGTCAAACAATAGGCCTATACATCATCATCATCAGGTGCCTTGCCGACTGGTGTGGGCGATCATGCGTCTCCATAATCTGCGATCTGCTACAGCATGTATCAGTTCGTGTGCCGACACATCTCCATGCCATGCAACAAGACATGCTGCAGGAGATCGTGGATTATGGAGAGGCATGATCGCCCAAGCCAGTCGGCAAGGCACCTAATGATGATGAATCACTTTCATTAAACATCATAAAACGAGTATTGAAATGTTATATCGAGCCTGTTCTGTTCTATGGTAGTGGATCTTGGAATGTGAGCAAACAAATTAAGAAGAGTTTGGAGGCTGCTGAGATGTGGCTCTTGGGAAGAATGTTGAGAATTCCTTGGACTGCCTGAAAAACCAACATTGAATGCCTGTAACAAGTAGAACATTATATACAAAAGTGAGAAGGAGACAAACAAAATTCGTTGGTCATGTAATGAGAAAATGAGCACTGGAAAATATCGTGACGACTGGAAAGATCACGGGTAGAAGAGGCAGAGGCAGAACAAAAGAAAGATGGTGGATGGCTTAAGACAGTGGCCTGGAAGAATATCATCAGTAGAATTGATTTTAGAACATCAAAGACCGAGATCTGTGGCTAGACATGTATGCCTACGCCAGCTGGCAAGGCACTTGATGTTGATAATTAATTGTACAAGGGTAGGAACCCATAAGCGCTCCGTTTTACTTTTAACACAAATCTGAGTCCAAAGAATCTCAACGCAGTGCACGAACTCCGAAGTACCGGCGAGGATCCTGAAATATTTTTGGTAGATTTTAACTCGGGCAGCGCCGTTAGGCTACTCTTTTAGATTTCCAACTGCCAGGGGATTCTATTTACGTGCTCAACAGTACATACGGCCAGGGAAAATTACTAGAAGTGCACGCGAAAAACTCCTAGCCTTCACGGGTGCCTGAACCCGGGTCTTCCAGCACTCGAGGTGGTACACTATTCCCCGAGACCACGCAATGTTCACTATCTCTACGCGAGTCCATTTGTGCAAGGCATGAAGACCGTGGATCTCGCTCGTTCCCAACCCCAACGGTATCCTCCCAATTCATAGCTGTTGGGGTCCTTGATCCTGCTGCTGCTTCTTCTTTTGTCGTCTCACAGATACCAGGTTCTAGCCCAGTATCGTAGTTTTGTCTTCTCATCGATACCAGGTTGTAGCCAATTACTGTAAGTTTTGTCGTCTCATCGATACCAGGTTGCAGTCCAGTATCATGGTTTTGTTGTCTCACCGATACCAGGTTGTAATTGAGTATCGTTGTTTTGTCGTCCCACCAATACCAAGCTGCAGTCCAGTATCGTAGTTTTGTCGTCTCACCGATACCAGGTTGTAGTCCAGTATCGTGGTTTTCTGTATTTGTCTTTGTCAGAACTCCGTGGGTACAGTCATGTGGCGGGGTAGACCATAAAGACGGTGTACCGTATTCAAGGTGCACCTAAGAGTTGACACAAAGGTCAACACAGTAAATGGCGTGACTGGCCACGTATGTGCTAGTGATACTGAGGGGGAACTACCGCTCAGAAGAGACCACTTGAAGACCGCAAGTCAAAGTGAACTCTTGTCCTGGCAGATTCCTGGTATGCTTGTTGCATTAATCAAATAACAGAAAGTGTATTGATCGGCACTCATAGAAAGAAGTAAGAAGATAGAAGAACACACTAGACAACATAAAAATCGAAAGCTATAGTTACCGTGCCGGGAATTGAACCTGTCACCTCCAGACGGCGTGTGCGCCTCGCCATGAATACAAGTGCACTAAGAACATGGTCAACTTATGCTTGTTGCATGATGTTTAACTGAGCGGGTTGACCCATCAAAAGTCACGAGGTGGGAGGCCACCAGGGGATTCGAATGTACACTTTGAAAAGATTTGATTTGAATTATTTGATTTGATTCAAGAACTGACATCACAGCACTCGGGGCATTCCCAAAAGCGCTCCGTCCCCATCTTCAACAGCCAGCGAAGAGTTCCGATACTAATAGTGCCAGTAGCATTCTGATTAAACGTCCGTCTTGCCTTTCCTCTGAGCCTCGAGCATCTGCCAGAACCTCTCGTCACTCCCCGCTGCATCAATCTCACCAGACTGTGGTGATCCATCTGCTCCTCCGAACTGTACACGCTATACCACAAGGCACTAACCACGCCTGCCTTATCATGTATCAGTATTCGACCAAGTTGTGTAGAGCCAGCCAATCTGTCCACCTGTTCATTTCCCAACACACCGGCAGTAGTGTATAAGTCGTTTACAGGTATCATTTGATAAATCGATCCCTCTTTATCCTTAGTAAAAGATGGCGGCCAAAAGTGATTGGTCTGTTCGTGTGGCTGTTCTTTATCCTTAGTAAATATCGATCGGGCTAGCCACCCTCTTTGTCCTTAGTAAATATCGATCGGGTGGCTGATGACAGCACAAGTGATTGGTTTTAGGGAAAGGTATAGGAAATCGATACTTTGTAGGTGCATTATTATCTTCATAACTGCAGGTGACAGGTGGCGTTATATAAATGGTGTGGTCAGGAACACTATTTAGGCGAGCAGCGGGGGGCAGGTGGGGCAGGGGACCCGGGGCGACAGGGCGACTAATAGAGTTGGTGCGGGTTTATGTGGGTGTCTGTATGTGTGATTGTATGAGGGGAGCCGTTTTAGACTTGCGATAAAGAAACCTAGGAAGGCGGCGTGATGACCGGGGATATTTTAGAAAGGGCAGCTTTGGCGCCGGCATCATCATCAGCTGTGTCAGGGTAGCGAAGGTCGACTGCTCAGGGAGAGAAGCCAACCTATACAAGAGAACGGACATATAAACATCGATACTTTGTCTCTCCCGGGGTATTTTCTTCGGGAAAAGGCAAATATTTCTTTAGTGCAGGGCCAGATGTTTGCTAAAGTGGCGGATATTAAAAAACCTAATACAAAGCGCCCTAGGAAATCGATACTTTGTAGGCGCATTATTATCTTCATACCTACAGGTGACAGGTGTCGTTATATAAAGAGTGAGATCAGGAACACTATTTAGGTGAGCAGCGGGCGGGTGGGGTAGGGACAACAGGGCGACTAATTGAGTCGGCGCGGGCTTATAGATTCTGTAATAGACAAAATTAGGGGATATTTATATGTTACAACAAGTTAGGGGATAGGAAAAGAGACTGTTAGACGGCAGTTAAAAGCGGCAGAGGGGAGCCGTTTTAGACTTACGATAAAGAAACCTAGGAAGGCGGCGGGATGACCGAGGATGTATTAGAAAGGGCGACTCGAGCGCCATCATCATCATCATCTGTGTCATGGTATCGAAGGGATGGTTTGAGCTGTAGTAAAAAAGGAGGACATACGACAGAAGGGTAGCTGTCTTGTCATAGTGTTAGGGGCAAAAGAGAAGGGACAAGAGACCCTGGGCGACAGGGCGACTAAAAACGGTTGGTGTTGGTTTATGGGTTTTGTAATAGACAAAAAAAAATAGGAGTGGGTTGTTAGCGGGGGATATATATGTTATAAAACGAAACAAGTTAGGGGATATGAAAATAGACATAGGCAGCAGCGACAACCGGCAGCGAGGGGGAGGGGGCGTTTTAGGGTTTAGATAAAGAAACCTAGAAAGGTGGCTTGATGACCGGGGATATATGCTGAAGGGCGACTTGAGCGCCATCATCAACATCATCATCTGTGGCATGGAAGCGAAGGTCGACTGCTCAGGGATGGTTTGAGCTATAGTAAAGAGGAGAATGTACAATAGAAGGGTGGGCGGCTTGTCATACTGTTAGCTGTTGATAGTTTAAGTTTTAGTAAAAAGTAAAACTTTAACGAAGGGGCGATCGTTGTGACATATTATTGGATATTGACCGCTCAAGGAGTGTTTAAGTTAAAATAAAATAAAATAAAAAATGGTAATTTATAGCAAAACGACGACCCTTGTGACATATTAAGGAGACCGACCGATCATGAAGGGTTTGAGTTGAAGTAAAAAAGGGGACTTTATGGCAAAACGGCGACTTTTGTGTCATAGCAATGAATGCCAACCGATCATTGACGGTTCGAGTTGAAGTAAAAATGGGAATTTATGGCAAAATGGCAATTTCTATGGCAATTGTAAGGAAGGCCGGCCGCGCAGAAAGGGTTTAAGCTGTAGTAACTACGGGTGGCAGGTGTCTTGTCATAGTGTTGATAATGCTAG